TATTAATTAGTAAAATTTTACTTATTTATACTGGTAAAACAATCTGGTCTCATCCATGTTATAAATATCCTTCAAGTTATAATTCTTTAAGATTTCTCTTAGCTGAAGAATAGTAACTTTAACATCTTCTTTGTCTACAAAAGCATCCTTTTCATGTTTTGTTATTTTTTTTAATTTGTGTCTTTTTTTGAACTTTTGTAGCCAACCATGTGAAAATTTGAAATCACCTTCAGGTATATGTAATGATCTGGCAAAATTTTTGGCTTTTTCTACTATAATCTCATTGTATAGTATTACTCTCTCTTGGTATTGTAGAATCCATTCATATAATGAATTTTTAAGTACTAGATATTGAACTGTTTTCTGTCTTTTCGCTAAAGGATTTTCTCCAATTTCATCCTTATTCTTTATTAAACAGCTAATGGTACTTTGATGAAATTCAAGACCTATTGTTTGTTTTACCTAATCGACAAGATCAGCTTGACTAATTTGAGGATTTTTTTCTTTATGTTTGATTATAGCTTTTCTTTGTTCATTTGTGAAGGCAGTTTTAGTTTCTTTAGGTTTTTTGGAGGACATTCTGATTATTGTAACATAGTACAAGTCTGAAGAGTAAGTTTAATTTAGCTAATAGCATTGAAGAGCTATGATGTTTTGGCATCTTGTGAAGTTAAATATAAAGTCTGGTAAATCAGGCAGGTACTTTCTTTCTGATTTTATAATTTGACTAACTACTTATTTAATATCTTCTTAAATAAATCAATAGATTATTTTTAATAATGCGATAAGCCTATTGCATTATTATATGATGTACAAAAATATTTATAACAAAGATATTCTTTGTAATTTGCATATGTATTAAATAACATCATGGCTGAAGCTGGAAATTGCTGAAGATAAAAATCGGAGACCTCTATTTAAAATATTAACCTTACCAAAAATCTATTTATACTCTTATTTTAAACTTATAAACTTAATCTGACTATAAAGAAAAATCCCCAAAAAATATGTAAATCATTTAAAAATTTTACATTAAATAAGCACATTTTCTATCTTTAGCTGCAATCATATGAGATCTAATTTAAATAATAATATGATCTTTATTTTTGAAGTATCAATTTGAAGGTACAGCATATATATATTACTTTTTATTGTATACAGTATATTCAACTCTTTAAATGCATTCTTAAAATACTAATTTTGATACATATTTGAATCTAGGCTCACTATCTGGTGTCCCCCCAGGAGGGGTTATAAAAAAAAAAAAAAAAAAAAATCTAGGCTATAAAAAATCTGGACTATATAATTAAGATAAGCATTAACTGAATGTTATTGATTGTCAAGAATCAGCTAATACAATGATTTATTCTGACTTGATTATTGTTATGAATATGGAATTGAAGTAGAAAAGAATAACAATAAGGCATTTATTCATTATCAAAAATCTACAGAGATGAATAATCCTAATTAATCAAGTTGGATATTGTTATCATTTAAGTATTAGGTTAAAATCAAAAACCATAAAGCATTTGTACATTATTTAAAATCAGCCAATGCAAGTAATTTTATGAGAATTTTTAAAACTGTCGTTTGTTACTTACAGAATTGGTGTATAACACGAATATGAAGAGTGGATTAGAAAGTAAGTTCTTTGTTAATATTTATTGAATTTTTCACATTTTAAAATTATAAAATCCTTAAAACTAGAGATAATGTATGTATAAATACATGTATGCATATACATACATTTATGTATGTGTGTATCTATTATGTATGAGTTCAAATTGCATTATTATCAACATGTCGCCAAGCATTTTTGGTGTTTTTATGTCCTATTTATATTGAATTATAGTTTTATTAAGGAAATCAATAAGCTTTGTGTTATATTTTTCGAAAATAATCGATACATAGAATCAATACAATAGCTTTTTTCAATAGTGCTGTATTGTATAAATAAGTTTAGAGGTGTACTATAATAACTGCTTAATATAGTATGATAGAAAACCTTTTATTAGTTTATTGCCAATACTGCTAACTAGAAATATAAAACACTAAACCAAAATATTCTTATAGTACATACTCTAAATTTATTTATACATTACTGCTAAAAAAAGCCGATATGTTCTTTATTTATTTTATTTTTTTTTTGGTATAAGTTTTATGCCAAATTTTATGAATTGTTAGAAATCAAAATCAGAATTAATTCTTGGATAGCATACTATGGATTTTGAATAAACCGTACTACTAACAGATGATAGTTATACAGTGAAACTTTTTTAAGTGCATTTCTCTAAATTCACAAGCACTCTAAATAAATTTTTAAATTTTGTCTTAAGTATTTACTCAAGCATTATAAATACATTTTTAATTGTTTTCTAAATGCATATAGCTATGTATTATCATCGTTATATATAAAATAGCTAATTTACTTGTATGAAATTTGATTGGCTCTTGAGTGACAATCATTACATATTATGCATTTACAGAGAAATTAGTAAATATATAAGCCAAAAAAATTGTATGCATTTGCAGAATAAAGAATATGCAATTATTTATTAAACCCATTAATGAGCCAGATAATTATTATACATTTAAAGAGGTTATGCATTTAAGAAAGTTGCATTTAAAAAGGTCTGACTGTATTTGATTAGTTAATTTTTGCTGAATTTTTCAGACTTTATAAAAACAGCTATAACATCTCTAGATTTTGCCTGGCCTATTAATATATAATCTAAAAATTTGATATTTTAAAATTAATATAACTGATTATATAAGCAATTAATTACTATATATATTATTTTGTTTTTTGTTTTTTTTTTGAATTTTAATAACAATGCCAGTTGGTTTATTAGCTTTAATTTTGATATAGTACAAATTTATAATTACATTTTAGAATTGATTATTACTAGTACTATATACTATCTAATTTTATACTACTGACTTTATTTGGTTACTCATATGGCATCTAAGTGCATGTTCACTGCATGTCTGCATGCAGTTATCTTAACAACTACTTGTGGCCAGGACATATCATTAAACTACTACATAGACAAGAATACCTATCGAACTTAATATAATATCCCAAATGCCAGAGATACTGTCTTCTGTAAATCATATCTATATGTTCTACTTACATATTTTACTTGGTCTTGTTTCTTCTGCCTTTTAATCTAACTATATCTAGTATTACCTTGTTCCCTACATTTCTCATCTTTTTGTCATTGTACCACTTTCAAATTGGTCCTACTTAGGCATGTTTGATCCTTATGATCTTTCCATATTTGGTATGCCTGTTATTGATTCCTCTAAAATGTTCTAACAATAGTCTAAGATCTGCAA